AAGTTAGAGGGTTAATATGTTGTGGGGTTGTTAACCAATGTCATAAAACAACATGTGTACTACTGTTTCATGAGAAACTATTTGTTTTGTAAGCCTTCACCTGAAGTACAATAAAATATTAAAAAAAAGAAAAAAAAATATAAAACCCTTATTAGCAATGACTTTGACCTGCCTGTTTAGAATACTCTCTAACATTGAAATCAGATTACAGCTTAATTCATAGCTATCCTTCAAATGTCTCACAGGTGGAAGAAGGGACCAAACAGTGATAAGCAAAGGTGGAACCACCACAGAATCCCAACATGCTCTTACCTTCTGTGATGGTATTGAAGCCAGGGAGTGAATGAACCTCTGAGGAAGGTTAGCATTAGAGAAAGATGAAGCCAGTCAAAGGCTTGGGGAAGATAGTGTCATCCTGATCTAGAAAGGCCAAATGGCAGCTTTATAATTAGACTAGCAGAGCAGTAGAAGAAAATTTCTGTGAGAGCAGAAAGAGAAGTATATTGAGTAATTAAAGAAAGATACTGAGAGATGAAGTTACTGAGAGTAGAGAAATCCCTTGCACAATATTTGGACCCAACATTTACCTGCATCCAAAACTTACTCTGTGGCCATCTATATTTGAGAATATCTTCTTTTCTTGTCAGCTCCTCTCCATGTTAGTGATCTAGTCCTGTAGGTGATGTCACTCTGGAAAATGGGATAGGAGAGTGGCAGGAGCTACTTGGGAAACAGGGAATCATCCTCACCTAGAGGTGTTAGCATCCATTCAAAATCCTTTTAGTATCTGAGGAAGGGATATAAATCTGTTCTTAGATTTTCAATGGTTTTGGATCCCACAGAGTCAGCAGCAGTTATTGTGAAGAACTCATGGCAGAAGACCAAATTAATCAGTTCTGGCTGGCTCAAAGTGAAGGCCCAATCTACTGAAACTTGAATTATTATTTGCTTGCTTATTTGTAGACACACTCTTCCAGCTTCCTTATAAACTAGGAGGAAGAGTTGTAGCTCTCACTGAGGCTAACTGCTAAGGTTTGTCTCTCCTGTGCTCTGTTACTTCTTTAATTTTCCCCAGAGTCAATTAGGGTATGTGATACCTTCAGCTCAGGGAATACTGTGATTGTACCCCTATGATAAAGCAAGACTAATAGCCATAGTCTGTTTTCTGGCAAGCTCCCTTAGTTTCTAGCTTTTTCCAATTTTGTAACCATAAGGTGAAACAAAGTCTGTGGGGCTTAACAAGGCCTGTCAGTAATTTCAGATCTACGGTTTCCTTTTTTTTTTTCCAAAAACTAATTTGGAAGGAAAAAAAAAAAAAAAGCTAATGTGTTTGCTACTGGTCAAAAGATATTTTCTTATTGGCACATTCACATTTCATGAAATTCATATTTCTTAGAATTGCTGAAGTGCTATGATAGAGTCTCAGAGACTAGGAGAATCATAGAAGCTCAAGGTTAGCAAGGACACAAGGGCTCATCCAATCCAACTACTTCCTATAATATTTTGAGTCATACTCCCTGAGCAAGATTTTGTTAGTATTGCTCCTGTTTCGTAGAATACTTAGAGATTAGTCTGGCATTTTCGTTGTTTTTTTTTTTTTAGCTTGGTGATTTTTGGAGCTGTGTGAACCTTTTCTCCAAACTTTCTTCAAATGTCTAAAGATGGTCTATGTCTTGAGAGAACATCTTAAATGTGGTCTTATTTTTTAGCTCCAAACTTTTGTGGAGGGTTCTATAGCCTCCAAGCCAAACTTTCTCTGTAAAGGACCATGTAATGAATGTTTTAGGCTTTGAGGGCCATACATTCTCAGTTGCAACTACTCAATGTTGCTCTTGTAGTGAGAAAGCAGCCGTAAACAATACACATACAAATGGGTGTGGCTGTATTCTGATAAAACTTTATTTAGAGACAAAGAAATTTGAATTCACATAATTTTAATGTGTCATGAAATATTCTTCTTTTGATTTTTTTCAAGTATTTAAAAAATGTAAAAACCATTCTTAGATTGTGGGTTTTTCAAAAGCAGGAGATAGGCTAAATTTGGCCGATCGGGAAACACGAGCCAGGAGAACTGGCAGAAAGAGGTGAGTGTGTGGCCTTTGTGCAGGA